AAAAAGTTTCTCCAACCGATCCTAAACGCACATTAAATCCAGTGTGCACGCATGGTCCCCATTTAATCCCTGCCAGGAATAATTTACATTTTAGTGAATCCCCCACTGGATGAGCCCCTTTAAAAGGGGTCGCCTTGTTTTCCAGTGCTTACATTTCCTTCTTCTTTCCACGGCATCGCGTGTGTCTGCAGCAAGTTGCAACACCTTGGGAGACCTGTTTATTTTATTTTTTTTAAACGAGATTTTCTTTCTATGGCATCTAAAATGAAGGAACGAAAGGTAAGGACGCACACGTCACTCTTCTACTTTTAAAATGTTAGGCTATAATATTTGCACGACTTAAACATTTATCGCCGCTCATTTTTATGGTGCTGGAATGAAGTTTTTCGTGTGGGCAACTCCTTCGCGTCGGTCGGCCAACACGCTCACACACATTACATCACCTTATTCAGCTACAGTCCCTTAAAATGTGCTAAATGTACTTGAACTGCATTTCCCACTGGAGTCTCCCTACGTTTTAATGACGTCATTAAGGCAGAAAGGCTGCCCAGAAGCTGTGCGTAAAGCAGCCTGGCGCGCACCAGTGCGTTTTCGTTCCACTCTAGCAAGTGGATGTTGTTCTCTGTTTGGAATAAATAAGAACAGCTTTCACTAAAAAAAAAAAAAAAAAAAAAATGTGTTTCATGACTTCTGTCTGTGTTTGCAGAGAACGCCCATTTCCCACAAAGTCATTGAGAAACGAAGACGAGATCGTATCAATCGTTGCCTCAACGAGCTGGGGAAAACTGTACCGATGGCGCTGGCCAAACAGGTATTGATCTCTTTTTTTTCATCGCATGGTGACGTCAAATGAGATTTGGGTTGCAATATATGCACGTTATCGTGTCATTTCCTTCCCCCATAAAGAACTCTGGGAAGCTGGAGAAGGCTGAAATATTGGAAATGACAGTGCAGTATTTGAGGGCTCTCCACTCTGCGGATTTTCCAAGAGGGAGAGAAAAAGGTGAGGATGAAACTCGATGGGGGCGCTTGAGATTCAAAATGACAAATAGTGAGCGAGCAATAATATACACGTTAGTTGTCGTGACTTATTTTTAGTGTCTCTATTCACCCCCCCCCCGCCCAAAAATGGTTTTACCCAGATTGCTTCGCTCAGTTTTGTCAAGAAATTATGTCACGGAACAAGAGGTTTTACTGCATGGTTGTATATTTTGCAGTGCATCCCGAGAGTAAATTACAACTCCAACAGGAACCAATGTTATGTTGAATGAACTCAAAGTCATCTTTTTTTACCGTCGGGGTACATTTTTTGGATTGGAACATCTGCAGCTGTACCTAATGAAGTGACCGGGTGTGGATGCTGCTGTCAAAAAATGAAAACCGAAAGACAAGATGCAATAAAATGACTCGGATTCTTAAATGATCTTTTCAGTAGACATAAAACTTACAAAGCTACTTTTACACGTCAAAGTACCCCCCCCTCCGAAAAAAAAAAACAAAAACAAATACTGAAGAAAAAGTGCAGATAAGACAATACAATAACAATAACAAATGAAAGATCGCTCTCCTCCTGTTTTGTGTTTTGTGACGTCTGGAGAGCTGCAAGACACTTTTACCCCCACTGAAAAAAATCGCGTGTTAAATCCAGTCAGTTTTATTTCATCAGGTGGTTGCGCGAAATAAAAGCACCTGGGTCCAGGTTTTTTTTTTTAAGTAGGCTATACATCTACTTCCAAAATGTAGCTGGACCCAGATGATTCTTATTCCGTGCAACCACTTGATGACTACATGAAAAAAAATGACTACATTAAACATCCTTTTTTCAGTGTATCAAACATGAAAAAAATTGTCATATCACAAAGTGGAAAGATATAATGAGAGGAGATATGAAAGGGTGTTTTTGGATTCAGCGATACCACGGCCACAAAAAAATAAATAAAATAAAATAATAAGGAAATGGCAACTAAAGTGACATTTTAAAAAGTGTCACTGAGACGTGAGAGGGAGGTTCCACATTCATTCATCAGAACATCAGCCGTGCTCATTTTATTCATAAAGTTGTTGCGTGTGCGTTGCTGCAGGCGAGTTGCTCACCGAGTTCGCCAACTACTTCCACTACGGCTACCACGAGTGCATGAAGAACCTGGTCCACTATCTGACCACGGAGGACCGAGCCGAGACCAAAGACATCAAGTACGCGCGCATCCTCGCCTTCCTGCAGTCCAAATCGCGCGCGGTCACCGATCCCGTGTTCGGTTCCGGCGGCCCCGAGACATCAGACTACCTGGGTCACCAGCTGCACTCGTCCCCGGAGCACCAGACTCCGCACAGCCCCACGGAGGCCACGCTGTACCAGCATCACCATCACCAGCACCAACAGCAGCAGCAGCAGAGTCCGCCGGCACACTTGTCATGGCACGGCTCGTCCCGCGGGCCGGCCATCTCGTACCCGCCCGCAGTAGCGTTGAGTGCGGCGCATGCGCAGCAGCACGGCGGTTACTTGTCGCCGGTGCAGGGACTCGAACATCATCACTACTTCAATTTGCTCGGCCACGCGCATCACAACACGTTCACTTTGCACAGTGCGCAGCACGCCATGTAACACACACACACACACACACACACACACACACACACACACACACACAAAACTGTTGCCTTGTAGTTTTATTTATATCAATGCGGAGGATGGAGATGGGACTTGTAAAATGTACATGATGTGAATAAATTTTTGGAGGAAAAGTTATTGTTACTTTGGCATTTTTATACACATTATGATGATTAGATAGATAGCCGCAGCAGGAATATTAACAACTACGCATGATACTACAGGAACAACTGAGAAAATTTACGGTTGTAGCCCTTTACCATCTATCTGTAACAAACGCTATACATAAAAAAAAAAGATTAAAATAAAACCATAAATAAGTTAAAATATTCTTTTCTAATTCAAATAAGCAAGCGCTCCCTTTAAATGGGCATCTATAGGATGTATAGGAAGTGCTGAATTTAAGTCCCTCTTGTTGCACATCTTTAAAGAGCGCCCTATAGGGAAGTATGCCACATAAAAAAATGCAGTTGTGTAAATATGAGGGGGGGTGGGGGGGGGATAGGTGAATTAGTTCAGTGGGCCGGCCCGGTGGTCCAGTGGTTAGCACGTCGACCTATGCAAGGCAGGCTGATTGAACATTCTAAAGTGTCCCCAAGTGTGAGTGTGAGCGCAAATGGTTGTTCGCCTATGTGTGCCCTGCGATATGCTGGCAACCGGTTCAGGGTGTCCCCCGCCAACTGCCCGAACTCGGCTGGGATAGACTCCAGCACCCGCCGCGACCCTAGTAAAGATGAAGCGGTTCGGAAAATGAATGAATAAAAACTCCAAGTTTCTATTAGTTCTCTTGTAAATCCTTTCCACCACTGTGAGTGAATCCATGGTGTGGTGTAAAGTTCCATTGGGCAGAATTAGGGACCGAGGGCTCTATTTTAGGCCGGTGCTAGTCTGGCGTGAAGCGCTGGGTCAATATGCACATGTGCAGGCCCGACCGAGTTTTGGTATTCTCACGGACCCGTGCAAGCCGACGCAGCGTGGCGCATTTCTAAAAGGGCAATTTGCACTCATGGTGTGATGCGGTGCGGTTGTACACCACAACAAACACGATCATGAAACAATAACAATATTGTTCTATTCATAGGCCAGCGAAACTCAAAAGTGATCACAGGTACTTTTGTAAAGGAAGGCGACTTTAAAGTCATTGATTCTGGTCTTTTTGTTATTTCTTGCAAAATGGCATGTCCACTTCACACAAACACACACAAGCGATGCACACAAAAGCGTCAAATTGGTAATGTGCTCTCACTATTTCAATGATCCCACAGTGACGTGTCCTCACGTCAGTTGGTACAGAAGTGGCCCTGCGAGGAGGAATAACGCATTTCTCCTCAGCTCTTTTAACAAAGTTGTATGCGTGGCGTTTGGATGTGGAAAAAGGAGAGCTTAAACAGCTAAAGGAGAGCCGCCTCATTGTCAGTGAAGGCTGAAAGGCGAACAATCATGCTTCATCCTTGAGTGACTGCGAAGAAACGTCATCGACACCATGAAATTAAAGTTTCACTCTGAAGGAAACGCTTTTTCTTGTACTCTTTTTCATTTTTTTTTCTTCCTAAGACATGAAACAGTCCACGTCTCCCCATGTGGCATCTCAAGACGCATTCAATATTAATAAAAGACACAAAAAGAGCTTATTGTGTACACATGCTGATATGTGTACACAAGAATGATTTCAGGGTGGCTGGCTCAGTGATGGATGCATATGAATAAACCTGCATCATTCGCCTGGATGCTTGAATAAAACACGTTAAGCGGCATTAAGCAGAACCCCCCCCCACCCCCACAACGCTAAAAGAAGACAGTGGCCATGCATGCGGATGAATGGTGACCGCAAACACAAAGTGAAGCGAGGGCCTCGGCATGTTCATCCACATGAAAAAAAAAAAAAAAGCCTCACACACACACATCGCATGAATAATAATAACGTGAGCGCGGATAAAAAGAAATTGCATTTATTGTCATGTAAACGGAGGCGCCGTCTGACGGCCGCGCGCTGTTCGCCTTTGGTATTTATACCGCAAGCGGCTCAAGTCGTACTATTTCGATTTTTTTTTTCATCAGTGAGAATTTCGAAAAAGTACAGCGCTACCCTGATTCACCAATTTAATTATCTTGTAGCTATTTCAAATCAATATTGCGTATTTAAGCAAATCCAGATCAAAGTTTGAATTTTATTTCATGGAATAGAAATCAGGAGATAACCAATTCAGGATAGAGTAGCGTTTGTTTGAAGGCACTCATTTTTAAGTGGGTAAACGTTTTGGAAAATGTAACTAGCGGCTGTTTCGAGGTGTTCAGCCAACTAATATAAACAAGAACTGAAAGAGGCTGCGGTAAAGGCCTGGAAAAGCATTTCAAATGAATGAATGCAACAGTCTGCTGAAGTCGATTTGTTATTAAATTTTGTTCACGTTCAGTTCATTTCATGATTTCTGTCTCAAGATTTTTGCTCACTTGAAAAGTTGGCGGCTTTTGTCCTGAGTTATTGATCACATCTACATGGAAATACCCTGAAACAAAAGCTGGAATTCTGAACTTTTACCTCATATTCATCGTTTGATGTGAAAGCCAAATATCTTCAATATACTGTACACTAAAACCAAATAATTGACCTGTGCAATGTTTTCCAAAACTTTGTGTTCTGGCTCCGGAAGTGCCAAGTTTCGATGCATTTTCATGAGAAATGTCTCCTCCAAATCACATTCATAGCCATGGAAGCATCTCGCATCGTGCTTCTTGTGGGCCCCGGTGAACATTCCCGCAATCATTGTGTGCACAATGATGTTTTGTTTGGACGTACACAAGCTGTGAGAAGTCCAACCGTTAATCGGAGTGCAGCATCGGCATCGCATTGGCTGCCTTTACGCACCTCACAATCCGATCTGAGGCTTAACACGGGGGAGCAAAAGGGGGCGATAGGGATCATTCCCACACTAGATAGCCCTATCTATCACACCTCCCCCGCCCAACACCACCCTCCCCGTGCCACCTCCCCCTCCTCGTGGGCTAATAATGCCAAAACTTGGCAAGCACATGAGGAACAGTTTTCCCATCAGAAGAGAAGCCTCGCTTGGCACCGCGCTCACTGTAAGAGCAGTGCAGACGTGAACGAATGAATGAATGAGGCCCCTTTGGCAACAACAACACACAGGTCACCTCACTGTATGCGGACATGCAAATTTAAGCACACAAAAAAAAAAGCACACATTTGTTTTGTTACAATTGAACCACAAGGACCATCTAAATGACATTTTAAAAAAATATCTAACATGCCAGCAGGGGCCATGCAGAGTTGCGGTCTTTTTCACCTATTTTGCACTTGGCAAGCGCCTGGCAATCCCACCACCATGCCATCAGATTATGCAAATCTGTCCGAGTTGCCCCCAATTCAACACTACCTCTATTTAGGAGCAACATATCGGAGGCAGAAGTGAATGGGGCCATACAAGTGGCGGTGTCTTACAGGAGGGGGGTTCAAAGGCATCTTTTCGTATCAATGAAAACATGTTGAATACTGTACGAAATACCCCACTGTGGACGCTCGTCTCTGTCACGCCCTCGCATTTATTCCTCTTTCTTGTTTGTTATGGGAACAAGGAGCCGGGATTTCAAGTGGCCTTTGCCAATTTTTTTTTTTTTTTTTTTTAAGCCACCCACCCCCGCGACATCCCTGCAGAGCTGGCACACCCCCCTTCACACTCCTTCAAAAAAAAAAAAAAAGTCAAAACAAAGTGCTTTGTTTAAATGTTAAACGTGTGGGGAAAACATTCTGTTTTATTGAAACGTCACATTCATTATGTTTAGAAATTTTAGAGCACCAGTAATTGGGATTTTTTTTTTTTGACACAGGTATTTTTGTGTTTTGTTTGAACATTTTTTGTGGCTTTTTTGATTTTTTTTTTTTTTTTTTTTTTTAATTATGGGCTTTTTTTTGGTTCACATTTTTCATTTTAGTGTCCTCTGTCATTTTAAAATGTGTTTCTTTCATCTTTTTAAATGATTTTTAATATATTTTTAGGGTCTTATGTTATTTTAACTTTTTTGTTATATTTTTATATTCTCATTTCCAAATGTTTATATTTAATCATTTTGACATTTGTATTTATTATTTATTTACTTGTGTCTTTTTTTGGGTCATTCTGTCAGTTTTATTCGTCTGGCATAATAATAATTATATATATATATATATATATATATATATATATGCATAATTATAATTATTATGCCAGACTGCCATGATGCACCCTAAGGAGAGTGCTCGAGCACCCCCAACGGTGGATGTGCCACAGATTAAGAATCCCCAATTTGAAAGCAACACAATAATGCCCAAAAAGTGTCCCGTGGTTTTTGCTATCCACGAGACAAAACAGAGCAAGCTTGTTAACTTGCACAATTAAGGCGTCATTTGCCAAGCCATAGTGCGCTTCTTTGTTTTCGGGCAGACAAAATGTTGAAAACTCAATTTTGCTGGGGTGCATTGGTTAAGTCGACGCGGCGCAACAAGTAAGTTGTATGTTATCACTCTGTTATATTTTTTTGATTGTTTGCTTATTATGGGTTAGGAAGCCGTTTACATCGACTCCTTTAAAAAACAAACAAAAAAAAAACATCACGGTTCATTGGCAAGAAGCGCATATGAAGTGTGACAACGTCAATCGGGAGAGAGCAACTTTCAAGTCTTTGCTGCACTGAAAGACCGTGCGTACTATTCATGTGTCTGATGTGTATGATGTGGTCAGGCACCTGACATAATTGACGCAATGGCCGAGTGGGCCAAAGGGAAAATAAAACCCCGGGTTGCTAATGTGCTCCCCGTGCGCTTGGCTGGACTCACGAGGGGCCAAAAGTGCCACGGCCGCCTCTTTTGTGCCATCGGTTGACGGCTGCTCCGCTGTATTTATCCGCGTCCAGAGGGCGCCCCCCGGGGCTTGGCGGGTCGCCCCCGCAAGGTCACCCTGTGAGTTACCCGTCCAGAGGGGAGTCAAGTAAGATTGGCAGTCAAGTGACTGAATGAACCCCAGTGAAAGATGCAGCTTATAAATGTTTCTGTGTGACTGCTGCTAGTGTGACGCTTTTATTGAGGGGGAGGATTCCGCTCCGTCAACAGACGGAAGCAAAGAAAGACGGCAAAGCGTTC